AGACCTTGTGTTTGACTTACGATTTCAGTGAATCCTCCACCTGTGAGCGGCTCATCATCAGCTGGGCGCAAATCCTTCTTGAAGTCATTATTCTTCGGAAGCGGTTCGAATTCATCGCAAAATCGTCGAGCACCGATCAACCAACTGGCACAGTGTCAATATTTTGTACCACTTGAAAAGGAACAAATACGCGGGTAAGAGTCGATTGTTTTTTATCTCATCCTTTTCTTTACTCTTTGATTTGCTGCTTTGTTCTCAATTCCCCTGTTCGACGAGGAGTAATCAATGAGACATCCAGACTTCACTTCGTTAATTCTTTCAAAAAAAAATCGTGGCAGGAATGAAACCTTTGGTTAGCTCTACTCACATCATTGTTTTTTGTTTGAATGCTGATCGCACCTTGTCAAATATGCGCCTCATCGTGATATCCATTCAATTGGACTCCTGTCTGAAGATCATCCGTAATAGCAACCTGCTCAAGGGGAAGTTATGAGAGATGGCCTTTTAAGGCCGTCCTGCCGTCCCACCCCACTTATGATTGATTGGTGGGGGGTTAGGATGATGGTCAACCAGTTGGTTAGTGAGAGTGGGCGGAGCGACAGAAAGGTACAAAAAGCCTACGTACAGAATTTTTCCCAAAAGTCAAAATTTATGGAGTGGAATTAGAGTATTAATTGTTCGAAATTCCTATTTTCGTATGCGATAAGGAACTGCCTTAACGCAAAGCAGAAAGTTTTGCCGATACGCTCCACAACTGCTGCACTGTATGGACAATGTTACGCTAAGAGTATGCATTTGCAGTACTTACCTCATTTATGCATTGGTAGTTTTTCACTGGTATTTTTCTAATGTGTGCGAATAATCGATTATCTAACCATTCATTCACCATTGGGTTATCAAAGACAGTACGACAATAGATATTGTGATTAATACCTAATCCGGGAATGAAGAAGGATTTTTCAATGCAGGTAAAGTTTTGTTATTGTTATCTACCTGCTGGTGCTGATCGCAATAAATATCTGGAAAAGTCCATAGTATCTCATAAGCTTCATTATATCTGCTATCTCGAAGCAGCCGCCTACTGACGCCTTGTGCTCATTTATCTTTCACTCAGGAAAGTGATCCGTGTTAAGGTGGAGCGCTATGGCTTCTCACATCACTTCCAGTGTTTAGTCCCCCACTCTGTTTAAATTATCCAGATCTAAATTGTCGAAGGCATTTTGCCCTACTAATTCTGCTGATCAACTTTTTGATTCCTTGAGAGGAGGAAGCATAAGAATTTAGCTTGGAACGCTCCTTTCTGCAAATGTCGCTTTGTTTATGGTTTGTTTTATCTGATTCTGTCTTTAAAAATTTGAAAAATAACAATTTCTGTGGGTTGACTTTTCTAAAAAATCAGCTTTCCCTTGTTTAGCTCCAAATCTGCGTTTGAGATCGGCTCACCTCAACGAAAGCCGAAAACGAACGACTGGTTGAAGAAGCACGATAACGCGATGACCACTTTCAAGCCAAGCTACGAAGAAGGTTTGCACTTTTACGAAGCTTTTGAGGAGAAGGAGGGAGGGGGGAGGCGGGAGTTTGGATTTTCACGCAACTATGCTTGATTCTACACCAAGTGAACTCTTCTCATATTTCTAAGGGTTTGCTCAGATTTTTCTGTAGATTTTTGGAATTCTCATATCTAATGTGTTTTTGAGTACCCGACCTAATTCTTAA